TAACCGGGCAAGAGGGTCAACTCCTTTACCTTCCAGTCGTTCTTCTTGGCACAACAGGCCAACAGCTGACTGGTCAGTAAAGGGGGGGTAGCTGTAGACCCCTAATCTTGCCCAGCCTCATAATAAAGATCAGAAGACCTTCTATTCGAAGATGGATGAAGCCTAAGAAGCCACTAGGAGAGACTATTAGGCTCCATACTAGGATAAGAGGGATTTTTGGCCCAAAAATAAGGATTTTTGCCTTTTAAGGTCGAGACCGCTGTCTCGGATTCGAGACTGCCGTCTCGTTTGGCGAGACGACTGTCTCGACCTTGTCAAACGAGACAGCCCGTCTCGACCTGACAGGCACGAATCCCTATAAATAGGAACACCATTCTCCTCATTTCACACATTTCTTCCATTCTCTCTCTAGATATTTCTTCAAATTCTCTTTCTAGAACCCCTCTGAAGCATTTCCGGAGTTTCTGAGAGTTTTCTAGAGTATTTTATAGCGTTTTTGAGTAGTTTCGGCGTTGTAAAGAGTGAAGGGCTACCAAAAAGCACCCTAATTGCAAAAGATTAATAGAAAGCTTGCTTCGGAGGTTTCTACACTCTCTCTCTCTACTTTATCGCTTTAATTTTAAATTATGCAATAGAAATTAGGGCCATGTAGTCATAATTTTAAATTCCGCAAAATAAAGGGTAAAAGCGTATTTTTCACCGGTTTATTTATTTATCCAAAGTAGCTAGCCCATCATAGGGAACCCGAAAGGGGCGTCGTAAGGGAACTAACGCTTCCCTTACACGTAACTAACTCCCTTACCCAACTCTGGTTCTAATGACCAAAGTTGATTTTTTGAAAACCAATGCCTTTTAACTCCTTTTCCGATGTTTCCGATAAAAACGTCGGTGGCGACTCCAAAAGAACCCTTCAAAAACTAGTTCTTGGTTTAGCCCGGTTATCGAACAATCTAAGAACGCCTTTTCGAAAACCTCGCCCCTAGGTTCAGCCCGGTTATCGGACAACCTAAAGGCGTTGTAACCACTCCAATAAAAACACGAAAAATGGAAAGTCGGAACCATCGCGTCGCTCCGACCGCCTCGTTTTGACGGCGGCGACAGTCACTTTAGTTTCCACTTTTCTGCTTTGTTTAGTGTTCTTGTTGTTTTACTTTAGTTGTTCTTTCAATTAAATTTTGTTTTACATTTGTTCTACGTGAATTTCTACTTCAATTAATCACATAATCATAGATTGTTCACAATGTTGTTTCCAGCTTTGTTCTTCTTCATTGTTTTCGGTTTTTACATTGTTTTGGCAGTGATTTGAGCGTGATTCTTGTTGTTTTTCAAGCCTTAATCAATTTCTTATTCATTAAGGAGAAGAATCACGTCTCATTAGTCAATTTCACAAAGTTTTCGTGTGTTGTTTTGTTGTTCTTGTTGTTTTGACGTTGTTTTACCATTTCTATTTTGTTTTTATTATTTTGGTTTAGTTTCTTCAATTTGATTGGTTAGAGTGTTGTTCTTAGATGTTGTTTCAAGATCTTTTACTTTCTTTTAGAATTAATCGGTCAAAAATTATTTTAGGAGTATTTTCTATTTGGTTTGTTCATAGTAATTTAGGAGTAGTCTTCAATTTAGGAATAACTTTTACATTTGATTGAATTTTTGTGTTTGATTTTGTAGAACTTGTTCTTCATAATTCTTTGATATTTTTGCACAATTTAGAAGTTCTAAACCTTAGTTAATAGGTTTTTAAGTTTTTCAAACAGTTAGAAGTTTGTTTCCAATTAATCTTTAGATTCGGTCATTTGTAGTTTCAAGTTTTTGTCCATTTGAATTCTTCAATTGTTCTTATTTTTTTCTTACTGTATTTTCTGTCCAAATTTAATTCCAAGCATGATTTGATTCTTTTTTTGTTAATTCCAAACTGTTTTAGTAGTTTTAGTTTCTAAAAATTTTTACAAACATGTTACATGCACTACTTTAGTATAGTTTAGAATACTAGTCTAGTTTTTTATGTTGTTTCGGATCATAAGCTTAATTCTTCTTAATTCTTTGTGTTCTAAAACATTTAGAAATATTTCTAATTCGATTTAGAACTTAGTTTAATTCTATTTGCATATTATTAGTTGCATATTTTAGGCAATTTAAGTCATAACATGTTCATATGCATATTTAGCAAATGTTTTAATTTAATTGCATTTTTCAATTCGGTTTTCCAAAGTTTTTTGTAGTTTTTACATCATTTCAATCATTTTCTAGTTCCAATTGTGTGCTTAATCAATTTGGTTTCTAGCTTTGATAATTGATTAGTTTAGTTTCCATTAGATTTACAACATACAAAATTTTCTAGCTAAATCTGTCACAAAATCCATAACTAGTTTTGTTTTTTAATTTTAGCAATTTTCTTTTATTCGGTTCATGATTTGTTTTTAGTAATTTTTTACCAATTTGATTTTATCATTTAATGTTGAGTTCCATTTAAAGTTTTTACCAATTTCCATACAAAGCAATTTGACACATTTTAGTTTACTAATTTAAAATTTCTTTTAGTTGTTTACTTTTAATTTTTTTTACTTTTATAACTCAAAATCCCCACAATTTTACTTAGTTTTTTTTTTCATTCAAATTACACACCATAAAAAGAACAATTTTCAATTTCACTCCTTGGATTGATACTTGGTTTACCTCTTACTACATTTTTGGGGAAACTAAATTTTGAAAACCTATACGACTAAGGGTTTATCAGTGTACATCAGGGAAATGTTAGTGTTGGGGTTATTTCGATATTACCTAATGAATATGCAAATCGATATGACGAGATCAAAGGAGGTGTGATCTATATCGAGAGGATTATTCTAAGTTAGGACTTTAACCTAAAGTTGTATAGGTTACTTAAGTGTCATGTAAACCCTTTTATGTTGAAAACAAAGATCGAAGGAGTCAAAGCAAAAAAGGTTCTTGTAGATGGAGGAGAAACAATGAATATTCTATCCAAATTGATGTTAAAATGATTTGGAAAGAAGGAAGAGGATTTGCTGAAGAACAACATAATGGTATCTGATTTTAGTGGAAAATCATCAAATTCAAAGGGAATGATTGTTTTGGATGTGACGGTGAGAACATATACAAGAGAAATTGTGTTTGTGGTGGTAAAATCTTATGCTAACTTCAATGCTTTACTGGGAATCAAATGGATACATGGAGTTGTGGAAATACTTTTAACAACTCATCAGAAGTTGTTCATGTGGAATTGAGATGGAAATCTAGAAGTAATTCAAGGAGACCAAAGCAATTATGTGGCATATGTGTCTCTTGCGATAAGCTTTTGAAAAGTTTAACATTAACAAATCCATTTACATTCGAGACCACTGTGGATTTTAATTTGAAGGTGCATAAGTCTTGGGCCAAACTCAAAGTAGTCGAGGATAATGACTGAGTCTTGCTATTCAAATTTCTTGGCTTGATTGAAAACTTATGTTGATTTTCCTCAATCAAGGAAGGGACAACAAATTTGTTAGAATCGCGCAACAGAATGTTTGCATTTAGACAAAAAACAAAGAGGGGGGGGGGTGAATTGGTTTCTTATAAAACTTATCCCTTTTAAAAATTTTCACAAGATTTTACCGATCAAATGATAATATAATAAATCACTTGAAATGTAAAGAGATAAGGGAAGAAAATTACACAAGTAATTTATACTGGTTCGGATAAAAAAACCCTATGTCCAGTTGTTAATCACTATAAAAGAGGATTAACTTAGTCACTATAATAATGGTTCTTAAATAAACATATTACAAATAGAGAAGGATTAGAAAACACCTCTCTTGAGTTACAAAAGAGATGAACACCTCCTTTGAAGCCACAAAGGATTAAGACAACTTTCCTAGAGATGACACATCACTCAATCCACTGAGAATCCCACTCAATGATTCTTATTGCTTCTAGCCCACATTAGGTTTTCAAAGACCCTTTTTCTTCCCTACTCAAAGTTCTCCCAGCAATCACATCTCTTAACTTTCTGAGTATGAAAAAGGTTTGTCAATTTGTAGAGAGCATGCGAGTCCCTTAAATAGAGTTTTAGGGTGTTCAATTTTAGGGATTTTCGAAAATTAGGTATGGAATTCAAAATTTAAATTCATAACTGACACAGATAATCAATTATCATCAGTGATAATTGATTATCACAGAGCCAAATATAGGAAAACCAATTTTGTCTAGGATAATCGATTATCATCAGTGATAATCGATTATTCCAGAACCAATTTCAAATTTGAATCCTTAACAGCTAGAGATAATCAATTATCATCAGTGATAATCGATTATTCCAGAGCCACTTTCAGAAAACTTGAAGTTTAAAAAGGATAATCGATTATCCTCAGCAATAATCGATTATTCCAGTGTGTCCCTGATAAAAATGAAGCTTTTCTGGATAGAGTAAGTGTTGGCTATCATGGACTCTATTTTTACAGACTCAAGATGACAAAACAAAGTTATTACAAGCAATTTCAACTAAATATAAGTCTTCTGATCTTGAAGTGTTTTGTTCTTGAAACATCATCAAAATCTTTAGTCATCATATCCTTGTATTTTCAACAATCTCCCCCTTTTTTATGATGATCAAAATTTTCTTTAAAGCTTCTTTGTAATAACTTGTTTTCTGTCACAACTAGCATAAAAAAAATTAAACATACCATGCTTTAAATATATTCTCCTCTTTTTTTATCATAAACAAAAAGAACTGAGTAGTAAATATAAACAGAAGCTCCCCCTGAATTAATGCTAGAAAATAATGGACTCCCCCTTAAGAATTCAAATGTATGAATATTTATTTAAGATATCAAAATAGTACACAATATATATTGAGAGAGAGCTAAATTGATTACATAATATTTTTAAAATTCATCACTCTGAGAATCATATCCAAATTTTAAATCAAATTTGTATTCAAGAGATGATACATCTGAAATGAGACCCACAGTCTCTTGATGTCGTCTTTCTGAGATGGAGAAGAAATTCTACATGTGTTGGTTCATGTTAGAGACCATGTCTTCAAGGGAGGAGTGGGCTTTAGTATGGGCACCAGATGAAGTCCCTCCAACAAGAGTATCAACAGTAGCCATCTCATCATCTTCAGATTCAACAACAACAGCAGTGGCATTTGGCGCATCATCCTTGTGAAAATAAGTTCCACAAATGTTGACCATTTGCAATTGATATAGAGTACCATCAAGCATTTGGTTGGAATTCAATGTGTGGTACCTTTGTTCCCCTTCAAGATTGACTCCTTTGTATTCAAGAATTCTGGAGATAAGGAGTGCATATGGGATTTTGAATGTAGGATTTCGTTTGGCTTTGAGCATGGTGGAAAGGATGAGACTTGGCCAATCAATTGGCTCATTGTTCATAATTGCATGGATGATGCGAAGATCAATAGTAGAGCATTGAACATGATTGGTGGCTTGGGGACAAAGGATCCAAACAATGAGATGAAGAAGCAGACATTCATCTTTCTTTAACGGTCCAGCAAGAAGTTGACGCCCAATCTATAAAGCAGGATTAAGCAGGAAACAATGGTATGCCATGATCCGGTCAAAGTCGTCCATGTCTATCAACACATTGACCGCGTCATCTCGGATAGGAAATCTTGCTACATTTTCCCATATATCATTATCAAGGATGATGGTTACGCCTTTGACACGGGTAGTAGCAACATTGTTTCTGATTTTGAACTGAGAGTAAAAGACACGTACCAAATCAGGATAGAAAATGTCTTCCATCTCAACAAAGGGTAAGATACCTTGTTGTTCAAGAAGAGTTGGGAAGCGAAAACCCCGATCAAGGAACTGAAATCCTTTTAAGAAATTTGGAGTAATGATACTCTTTTCTTTTCAAAATGTAAGAAATTCTTATCTCCTTTCATCATCGGAGATCCATCCTTCAATGGAATTGGGACGGGATTGAGAAGTAAGAGCAGATCTTATCCTGGTGGGGATCTTTCTTCTTCATGATTCAACCATTTTTAATAAGGAAAGATGGCAATTTTAAGCGAGAATGCAGAGGCAAGAACTCATGAGAGACAATAATGGAGCTTGAGTTCAAAGAAAAACACTTGGAAGAGAGGCAAGATTTGAGTGAAATGAGTTTCTAAGTCCCTATATAAATAGAGAACACTTCCAACAGATATAAACGCAAGAATCAAGACAAAGAGATCTGTTGACAACGGCTAGTTTTTCAAAAAGGTCGTGAGATAATCGATTATCAACTTGTGATAATCGATTATTTGTTCATCAGCTGCCCATAATTTTTCTAGAATGCATGGATAATCAATTATCACCTGAGATAATCGATTATTCTAGAGAATTTTGCAGTTGATAGGATGTATGACACCGAATAATAGATTATGGCCCTTGATAATCGATTATTCCAGAGAGGTTTACAAATTTGAAGACTTATGAGCACAAAATAATCGATTATTACCTTGGATAATCGATTATTCCATAATGAAATTTGAGAATTTACAATTTTTGCAAAAGTTAGGATATTTCTAGTATTCCTAAGTCTCTCCTAAGTTCATAGAATCTATCTTTGGAAAGAGGTTTTGTAAATATATCTGCTAATTGATGTTTTGTATGAATGTATTCTATCTTACAATTTCCCTTACTAATATGATCTCTTAAGAAATGATGCCTAATCTCAATATGCTTAGTTCTAGAGTGCATAATAGGATTTTTAGTAAGATTAATCGCACTCGTATTATCACACTTCAAAGGAATGTCATTAACAAAGATATCATAATCTTCTAAGTGTTGCTTCATCCAAAGGATTTGTGCACAACAATTTCCAGCCGCTATATATTCGGCCTCAGTTGTGGATAAAGCGACACATACTTGTTTCTTAGAGTGCCATGATACTAAGGGAGATCCTAATAGATGACAGGTTCCACTAGTACTTTTTCTATCTATCTTACAACCCCCATAATCAGCATCAGAAAAACCTATTAAACTAGGTGAAGCTCCAGAAGGATACCATAAGCCTTTTCTTTAAGATATTTTTTAAAAAAATTTACTGCAGTTAAGTGAGATTCTTTTGGACAAGCCTGGAATCTAGCACACATACATACAGATTGCATTATATCAGGCCTACTTGCAGTCAAGTATAATAGAGAACTTATCATACCTCTGTACATAGATTGATTTATTTCTAAACCTGATTTGTCCTTATCCAAATAGCAGGATGTTCCCATTGGTGTGTTAGCTTCTTTTGCAGTGTCCATTCCAAATTTCTTGAGAATATCCTTGCAGTATTTTGTTTGAGACACAAAGGTGCCATCTTTCAATTACTTAATATGAAGTCCAAGGAAGAAGGTTAATTCCCCCATCATGGACATTTCAAATTCATTATGCATAATACTTGCAAATCCTTCACATAGAGAGTTATCAGTAGATCCAAAAATAATATCATCAACATATACCTGAACTAACAAAATATGTTCACCTACTTTCTTAATAAACAAGGTTGAGTCAATTTTTCCTCTCGAAAAATCATTTGATAATAGAAAAGTGCTCAAAGTTTCATAGCACGATCTAGGAGCTTGTTTTAATTCATAGAGTGCCATTTTCATTTTAAAAACATGATAAGGTTATTTAAAATCTTCAAAACCTGGAGGTTGTTGTACATATACATCTTCTTTAAAAAAAATCATTTAGAAAAGCACTTTTCACATTGTAGACACCAAATCTTGCCCGGTCAAATAGTAGCTCTCAGAAATCCTCCATTTTGAAGATGATGAAAGCTCCATTAGGTTCCTAGTAGAATTCACTAGGATCTATTTAAGAATAGGATAGATTTTTTAGAAAATAAAAAATTCAGAAAATCAGAAAACTTGGGACAACCATCGCACTTTCCCAGATGACTGTCCCACCTTCATTTAACCTTGGGACGACCGTCCCATTTTCCCAAACGGTCGTCCCACTTATTTTTTAGCTTGGGATGGCTGTCCCATTTTCCCAAATGGTCGTCCCACCTGACAAATGCCAAGACGATCATCCCGGCCTACCTAGCGTGAATTCCTATAAATAGGGGCTCATTTTCACCATTTTCCACACACTCTCACACCTTTCTCTCTACCTAGAAGGCATTCTAAAACCTCTAGGTGACTCTAAGCATTATTCCGGAGTCTAAGTGATCTTTTAGACACTCAAGAGAGTTAAAGTTTTCTTTTCCTTTGGAGAGAGAAGCGTTATTGTAGAGCGAAGGGATCACCAAAAAGCATCCTCAAGTTTCAAAATTTTATAAAAGCTCGCTTTAGAGGTTCTTTTCTATATTCTCTCTGTTATCGTTTTCCTTTACTGCTTTCCTTTGTGCATTAGATATTAGAGCCATGTAGATAGTTATTTAAATAGTGCAATGAATAAATAGGGTAGAAGCATAATTTTTATGTCTTTATTTTAAGATTATTCCATCATAGGGAACTTGAAAGGGGCGTTGTGGGGTGCTAACACCTTCCCCACATGTAAATAACTCCCTTACCCAACTCTGGTTATAATGGCCAAAGTTGGTTTTTCTTAAACCAACGCATTTTTTGTTTTCCTTTTCCAATGTTTATGGTAAAACATTGGTGGCGACTACAGACCCTCTTTATGAAAACCTCGTTCTTCAGGGTAGTTCGGTTATCGAACACTCTAAGAGCGATGATCACATTTTTACAAAAAAACGCGAGTCACAAAACCATCGCGTCGCTCCGACCACTTTTTACGGTGGCGACAAATGGCAACTCCACTAGGGAAGTCATGAGAGTTGATCCCATTTAGTGTGGAATAATCCAAAAATAGTAGACTTGAAATTATGCCTCTACCCTTTCTTTGTTTGTGTAACATGTTTTACTTCTATGGCTTTAATAACTGTTGTTTGTTTATTTTCTACAATTGTTTGAAATACAAACTGTACACAAACCTTTGCACACAACAGTCCCTCTATACCCAGGGGCAAGAGTGAATACACATAGGGAGTGGATGGTGTTTATGGCCGGCCATGGTAATGGCTATAGTGCCAACAGGTCTTTGTCAGAAGCCACCACTCAAGGTGATAACCCTCCTCTCCCAGTCTGTAGGACGTGGACAAGGCACTTGAGCCACGTATGGTTTGAGGGCTGAGAGACCGTGGGAACCCTATAATGGGGGCACCTTAGGGACCTGACCTTGGTGAGGACAGTTAGAACCTACCTTTGCCAATGCACTTTTCTACAGGACACCCCTACCTTGTAATTAAACATCATGGCTCTGTTCACGGATGAGTGAATTGTTTGTGCACTTGTTTGTTGCATTTTGTTTGTCACATTTGCATAACATAATCATACAACAACAAAAATAAAAATAATAATACAAATAAAAATAGCATCTCAAAACCTTTTGGCAATAAACAACCTTATCTTGGACAATCTTCATTTAAGCTAGCCTAGTTTCAGTTTCTTTGTAAGCTAAGTAGCCACATTGACTTACAAAAGAGATAAGGGGTTATAAAGCAAAATAATTTTACAACAAACCAACTTTATCTTGGATATTCTTCATTTAAGCTAGCCTGGTTTCAGATTCTTTGTAAGCTAAGTAGCCACATTGACCTACAGAAGAGATAAAGGGGTTAAAAAAAATAATAATAAAAGGATTTTAACAAAGTCAAACCATTCATACCTTCATCATTTCAAGAGTGGTAAAATAGGAGAGAAAATAAATGCATAAGGAAAGAATGCATACACATCATCCTAATAAAATCTCTCATGCATAAATTCATTCATTCTAGGAGGGATTAGATATCCTTAAGACAAAGACGAAAGAGGCCCCAAGCACGTTTGTAACCATCCACAAGGAAGGGACAAATGTACTAAGGTGCGGTAACCTTTGTAATACTTGTCAAATCCATGATGGGGAAGGAACCATTACACCAAAGTGGGTATGGTGCCCCGCAAAGCGTAAAGCTTTGAGGATGACACTGAAACCATTGTCTTAAGGTATATCTATCTCACACTAATCATTCATATTAAACAATAAAATTCATTTTTGCATTCTAGAATGTGGTTGGTCTTCCTCCTGTCTGAACCCGCGCACAGAGAGCCAAAGTGGTGGAGCAGTTAGATGAACAAAATCACAAGCTTACTACTGAGGTCAGTTCCCTGAGGGAGCAGATGGCGCAAATGATGGAACTAATGCGCCAACAAAACCACAAAAAAGGTGACCCTCAT